AGTTCCTGTTATTGTATGTTTTTGTTTTGTTTTGACGTCTTATAGTGTAGGTCCTATTATTGTGTGTTTTTGTTGTTTTGACGTCTCAGTGCCTTATCTTGTGATTTTGTTTTGTTATAACGTTTCAGTTACTGTTATTGTGTTTTTGTTTTGACATCTCAGTTAATTTTACTGCCTTTTTTTGTTTCGTTTTGACGTCTCACTTTCTGCTATCTTTTTTTTTTTTTTTTTTTTTTTTTGACGTCTCAGTTCCTTTTATCGTGTTTTGGATTGGGGGGCCTGTCAATTCCAGTTAGTGTACTTTTTCTCGTGTCCTGGTTACGTGTTTTTGTTTTGTTAACTTCTACCCCTTGATCTGCCATTGCAGCTTACTGCTTATATTTTCATTTTACAGTTAAAACAAATGGTGTCTATTAAATTTTAGAACTTCCGATTCTTATCGTCAGGCCCGGATAAAATCAAGATCAACTCCCAATATAAAAGCTGACATATCGCGCTGTTTCCTACAGAAAAATGAAATGTTATCATGTTGGTTAATATGATTTTAATATGCAGACTTTAATTAAACAAAAAGATAATATTTAGTTTATCGATGATAATGCCATACATTACATTTTAAGGACTATATTAGTACGACCTTTTTAGGCGAATATTTGTTTAAAAGTTCATATTTGCTTAGTCCGCAAATAGGAATTTCAATTTCATTCTTATAATACGAAGCTACTCTTAATTATATATTATTAGTAATACAGTAAAAGCCTTGACGCTAAAATGAATATACATGCAATACATGATATACAACTTCCATATATATATATTTAAAATATATTACCTGTAACTGAGCGAGATCAGGTTATCTCGTTCGAGGGCTGTAACATATTCGTAACCGAGTCGTTAGCCGAGGGTTACATAACCTTAGCCCGAGTATATATGAGATAACCCGATCTCGGTTAGGTACTGGTCGTCTAATATAAAGAGTCTTTCTCTTTTTTCTCTCTGTTTCGCGTAAGCATCTTTGAATTTTTGATTTAACAAATAGTTTTTGAAAAAATTTTAACACATTCTTAACTACGTTTTTAGAAATATTTGAATATTTTTAACAATTCAATTGGGAATAAGGTTTTTGAAACTTGTTATTTTTTATTTATAAAAGGGATTTCTGGTACAATATGGAAAAATAGATACGATTTCTTTTTCATACTCCCTTACAGCCATACACACGCTCACTGCATTCACATATACTCACTCATCATTTCATAATGTTTTGTTATCATCATCATCATCATCACCCCGATATCTTTATCATGAGATTGACATAATCCTCATCGTTATCATCCTCATCAGTATAATCATCATCATACTGATTGCATCGTCATGAGACTCTAAACATCATCATCATCATCATCATCATCATCATCATCATCGTCATTACCATTATCATCATAATCATCACACTGATATATCCATCATGACACACAATCATCATCCAATTGACATACACTTTTTCATTATTATTATAATCATCATCACGATTGAAATCAACCTCATTCTCACAATAATATCGGTCGTAATCACACTTGTCATCATCAGCAAATTGATATCATCATCATTACTGAAATCAACATCATTCTCACAATAGTATTGTTATCACACTGTTGTCTTCTCATCATTACCCAGACATTTTCATCATGACATTGACAAAATCTTCATCATAGTTTATACTCTCACCAATTTCATCCGCAAGACACTAAAATTATCATCATCATCATCATCATCATCGTCATAATCACACTGCTTTCATCATTATCACACTCATGCTATCATCAACCTCTAACTGATACCATCTTCATCGTATAACAATAAAACCATCATAACTTACACACCGATATATTCATCATGATACAAAGTAGTTATCACATTGATGTGCTCATCATCATAATAAGCAAAAATACCAATTTTATTCACATGTGAGTGTTAATTTGCTAAAGCATATCATACCATCTCTCTCACACCTTTCATACTTTCTCACACCTTTCATACTTTCTTTTGATATACATTCTTAACAATTTAAATGTCTTCTGATGTACAGATGTATTATAGAAAGAAGAGGGAAAGGAAAAGAAAGGGAACTTTGATACAGTCAATTACAGAAATATCCTCAACCATTGCTATTTCAAATCTTGTTGATTCATACAACTATGTGCAGGTATAGGAGGAAATAAGATAGCGTCTTCAGGAATAGTAAAATATCCAGGGGTCTAAGGTTGGAGAGAGAGAGATGGGGAGATGATGGGAGAGAGGATGGAGATTGGTTATCACATTAACCTGTCGATCGTAGAGTAACAGTTTTATTATATCAGCTCAAAATTCTTAGAGTATTACTTTCTATTACTGTTACCCCCTAATTGGTTTTTCTACATATAAATCATAAAATTGAGGGTATTATGGGATATTAAGAAGGTTTTGCCACTTTTCCCAGTCTCTATGTTTTTCATCTTTACCTTTCACTATATATTTCTGTATCTCATCAGTCTCTTTTATTCAGTTTTTAAGGCCATTTACTGATAGAGCTTTTTCTAGGCATCTTGCTTTTTAAATATAATATTTTATAATAAGAATGATTTGGTTATCTACTTTGTATCGAGTTCTGGACTTATCATATATACCAAAGATAAATGTTTCCTTATTTAAAGCAAAATGAATAAACAAAGCATCTAAGAAAAACTCAAGGTTTGTTAATAAATTCTGAACTTGATTACACCCTCATAATGCACGCTCTATTGTTTCAATGTCTGATTTACAAAAATAACAATGAGGATTATTTACTATTCCAGCCCTGTACAGATATGTGTTTGTGGTTAAGATGAGTTGATTAACTCTATACTGAAACCATTGTAGTGTTGTGTTTTTAGTTACTTGAAATGGTATTTTGTAGATATTTCTTCATGTAAAATGTATTATCATTTTTTTAAGCTTACTGTATTGAAATCACATTTCCCAAACTTACAATTATGTATCTTTCTCTTTAATCTTGATAACGGTTATTATAATGAAATATGTTAAGAATGAGATAGCAAACCTGGTCAAATTAGTGTGCTTATACTGCAAAAATAGAGTAGGTCATCAGAACGAAAACCATTCAGTCTGTAGATACCTCATACGGATAGAATATGGAAAAGTAAGATATCAAAGCACCAACAAAACATAGACAAAATTAGTTATCAAATCTATACAAACGAAACAATACCAGAAACCATGTAAAACAAACAAAAGATACATTGCATAATCTTTGTTGACCCTGAATTCTGTTGAGATTTTTTTGGATGGTCACGGCCCATTCGTTTCACGTTTTTCTCAGTTCCGTTGCTTGCCTTTTCGGATACGCTTGGGTTTCGTTTATTATTTTTATTGTTACATTGAAACTTCGGTATATGAATTAAATAAGTGAATTAAAATCTAATATGTAGCATTTGTGTGTTTGTTTGTGCTAGTAGAACCACAAAAAACAAACACCTTGATACGTGCGTCCACATTAGTCGCCCGATACGTGCGTCCACATTAGTCGCCTGAGACGTGGGTCCACATTAGTCGCCCGATACGTGCGTCCACATTAGTCGCCTGATACGTGGGTCCACATTAGTCGCCTGATACGTGCGTCCACATTAGTCGCCTGGTACGTGCGTCCACATTAGTCGCCTGGTACGTGCGTTCACATTAGTCGCCTGGTACGTGCGTTCATATTTGTCGCCTGGTACGTGCGTTCACATTAGTCGCCTGGTACGTTCACATCCATTTTATATTTTAAGTCTCTTTTAACCTGCACAGATGATACATGTTCTGACTTTTAAGTAACGAATATGTATTGAAAATTTCATTGGTTACGTTTTTTCAAACAAATGCTTTTAAACCAACAGATGCACCATTTGCCTCTATTATTTATATCCTGATATAGTCACATTTGACAGTTCCAAAAGTAACCAAGTGAGCGACTTTATAAACGAATTAATGATAGGATACCTATCTCGTTTTGCATGCGTAAGGTTGAACTCGACTCTTATTTGAAAACAAAAGTGTACATATATTTTCACATACAAATTATAAGTCCGTTAAGGCCGTATCATAAGTATCTATAAGAACAGTAACACATGGACAGTTGGATGGTCGGGTGGTCGGGTGACGTGGTGGATAGCGCATTTGCCTTTCACCAAGGCGGCAGGGGTTCGATTCCCGGATCGGATATGAAATGGTACGGGGTCACCTATTCGACCACGTGAGTTTTCTCCGGGGAATCCTGTTCCTCCAACATTAAGACCCCCGCGTTAACATTCGGGCTACACCAGTGATTAATATAAGTTGTAAAACCTTTATTCATAATTTTATTAAAAAAATAAAGTTTTTATAAAGAACAGTAACCGTTGATATTTCAACTTTGGCATTGCAACGGTAGAATATGGGTGCCCATTTATCATTAGCCCTATAAAACAAGGAGAAACCATATAGTAGGTTTGCAGACGTGTCTTGTTTGTTATCTTGACGCGTGCTGACTTCGTTCGACTTCTTATATTTACGTGGCCGATCATAGTTCGGATTGGCCGGGATGTCTACTAAGGCGACCGTAAGGTGTTAGGATTGTGGTTGTACAAACGTCAGCTACCGGTTTACCTCCCCCGTCCTTTGCAGGACAGGGCATAATTCTTCAGAGTAAAGTTAGGTTAACGAATCAACACCAAATTTTATAAATGATATTTTTCATTTAAATGTCTTCAAGTATGCATTTGGTTTGTTTTTCAGATGATCGTTTAGACCTCAGGAGCATATTATTCTAATAAAGACTTTCAGCACATTTAAAAACCTTGTTGCTAAAAGAAAATGAAATAACATTTCATTAAGATAACCAGGCTTTGGTCGATAAGGTTCTGGTTTCAAGCAATCGGATACAAGACGATGCTTAGTAATCGATACATTCGAAATACCGCGCTGCTCTTATAAAGAGTGTCAGGGGGATCCCTAGTAATACAAAGGGATCCACGAGAGACTAGAGGAGGTGCTGAGCGTACATCTACACACAAAGGTAAGTCAACTCGTAAAAGTCGACACTGTTTATGTTTTTCGTTTTATTACAATGTAATGCATTTATCCTGTCTCTTTCTCAATTTAATCGTCTTTTCAAAAAGCTGAATGTTTCAAAGAAAATATTTATATAAAATAAAATCCATGTTTAGTTATATTTTTTTTTATTCTTTTATAAATATGATATATTGCTACATGTATTCTATTCATGATCATTTTATCTAAGCTGGCTTTCACAACTAAGTTTCCTGTTTTAAACTCCTCGTTGAAGTTTAAACGTGTACACTTTATCTCGGGGTTGTACGTTTTGCTTCGCCGTTATGGGTTTATGATAATGATAAAGTATTTGTTTAAGTAAGACATCGTTCAAATGTGCTTTATTGGTTATAAAAGAAGCTGTATATCATTTACTGATTCTATTATAACTCCATACATTGCATTACATAAATATAATTATTATTTTACTGAGATATTTAAAATCATAAAGCTGGTGTTGAATAGCTATCATAGGAATATCAATATACCGTTCAATAAAAGAATAAAATGACAATGAATTAGTAATACGAGTATTTATTGTTAGAGTCATATATTTTAGATTTCTTTATACTGTGTTTCCGTCAACACATTGCATTTTGAGCAATACGTTTCGCAGATATTATTTCATTCGGAAATGCTTTGTTGGCTAGGTGACACAAATAGGATTTTTTTTAACTTGGCGAGTGCGCCGGGAAATATCTCCAACTGCGCTTCTCTTATTTTACCTACTGTACGTGTACTGATCAGTAGTATCCGGAAGTCGAATCATGCATTAACAGAATATTGAGGATCAAAAGCTGACAATCGCTTTAGTTGTCATGGTCGATCGAAACCTTGTCCAATCTCATCCTGTTAAACTCCTTCATCACTTGTAAGTAACTCGTTCTAAGGCCGTGTTAAATAATGTTAGGATATAAAACAAAAACATTTGCGCATCCAACCATCTTTAAATCACATTACTTCGTTCTTTTAAGAGACCCTTTTCATCAGACACCAGGGCACGTATTCATGAAACCGTTCTCGTGCTCAAGCAAGGTTTTTGTGCTCAAGCCTAGTTTTTTGTTCCTGCTATAAATTAATAAGAAAATCTTATTTTGTCAACGATTTGGGGAAGTCTTGAAGAGACTTGTAGCAGAAAACTGTTTTCAGTGTTCTCATTTGACTTTTTGACATGATTCAGGTGAGTTATAATAACGTTGGTTTGAGCACAGAATCATTGTTTGAGCATGAGAACGGTTTCATGAATACGAGCCCTGGTCCCGTGTTCATGAACCGTGCTCATGCTCATGCTCAAACATAGAATCTGTGCTCAGACCAAACTCATTTAACTCACTTAAAATTAACATTTTGGATAGTATTCTGCTGCAGATACTTGTATATTACGTGTGGTAAAATTGACATCGTCCTTTTTGCGAAACCTATTTTTTTTTTTTTAATTATTGCTGAATATTACATACTTCTTGATAAACCCACACCTAATGCTAACGGTGTCGTTGATTTGTTTAATGCTATATTTTATTAGCACAATTATAATATGTTAAATGAAAGAAACAAAGCCATAGTACGTGTTAACACTTTTTTCAATGCTTTGATTCAACATCATATACTACATTAAGTATTTATAATTTTATTCGATAAGTCAATGAATAAGCAAATAAATTCACATTGAGAATAGAAGCGTTTTGTTAGGAAGATTTATGATATTTTGTATTCTTGGTCATTTTTTTTTCTCACCAAAGAACTTAACGATATCATCAGGGAATCTAATGATTCAAAACATGACAAAGTTTGCTCACAAAGGAAGTAATGTTGACGAGATATTTACATGTACAACATGATGCCAAATTGACAGTTATTTTGATTTTATTGTTTGTGGTTTCAAACTTCATTGCTGAAATATCAGTAAAGAAAACAAAAAACAGATGTATTTTAAAAACAAAAAAGTATATATTTAGCATCTATTTGGACATTAAAATATTATACATTATATGATTGATCTGACTCTCTTGTTAGATTTTGGTATTGAATAATGCATTTTGTTGTTTAAGAAACTTTGAAACTTAACGCTACAAAGGACGCTTGCCTTTCCGGAAACCTGGTCTTATATTCTATGTTCTATTCCAATGTTCTCCAGGATACTCTTTCTCTTGGTCCTATTCTGTCGTTGCTTTATCGATTGTGAATACTAAAATTGTTTACATATTATTGTCGTGATGCTTTTTACACAGATCACACGACACTCTTCTTTAAGTCAAAAAATGATATCACTATGTCTTTAAATATGATAGAAACATTTGGCACTTTTTTGGATTAATATTAAATATAGAAAAATCAAAAGGGCTCAGATAAGGCAAACAAACACTGATTGAGGACAATTTTGAAGGAATCTCATGAACTGAGAAATTGACAAAGCCCTTGGTGTGCATTTTGGTTTAAATAAGCAAAACATGTTAGACATCAACTGGAGAGAAAAGTTGGATTAAGTACAAAAACTTGTGAACAACTGGAAAATAAGAAAACTTACTATAATTGGGAGGATACACATAGTGAAATCATTACTTGTACCACAATTAACATACCTTATTTCAGTGTTATATATTCCAACAAACACAATTCAAGATTTTGGAAAGATGATTTATAACTACATATGTGATGGAAAGAGAGAAAAAGTAAAAAGGAGAAGAATGATCAAAGCATACAAAGACGGAGGTCTAAATTCAATCGATATAAGATCTCACATTGACACATTGAGAATTAATTGGGTACAAAAACGTGTATCAGAAGAGGAAGCCCTATGGAAAGTTATCTCACAATTACAGCTAGGCATGTTTGGCCATAATATGCTCATCTGTAAAATGAACTTAGATAACTTAAAAAATCTTCCAAAGAGTGAAGAATTGTCTCCTTTCTACTATGAAATCATATCAACATGGATAAAACTCAGAGAACCAAACAAAGAACCAAAACATTACAATAACATGCTAGCACAGATCATATGGGGAAATAAATACATAAAGATGAAAAGAAAAACATTATAATTCAAAACATGGATAGAGTCCGGTATTATAACAATCAAGGAATTACTGCATAACAGTGTAAAAATGAATGACAGACTGATTTATGAAAATCTCCAAAATAAGATTAATTGGCTGTCAGAACTATCAATAATTAGAAAAATAATACTAAATCGTTGACGAAACAAAAATGAAGAAAGTTATTTCAACATGCAAAACTTTAAAGTCAATATTGAAAGAGATTTAGTCATTAAGCTTCCCAAACTAGAAAGAATGAAAATTATGAATTGCAGCAATCAAAATATATACAAACATTTGATAAAATTGCGTTCCGAAAAACCTATCTCAATAATATAATGTGAAACTAACCTTTATATCAATGCTGTATTAGAGTACACGAATTAATTCATATTCAAAAACGTACAGAACAATAAACTAAAAGAGATCAGATGGAAATTATTAAATAAAATCCTAGTATTAAAGCAAATACTACATAAATGGAAATTGAGTGATACACCTAATTGTAATGATTGTAACATACCAGAAGACTATGAACCATTTTTCATCAAATGCAGATATCTACAAAGGTTTAATATTACAATTAAGCACCTTTTTGTGAGTGAGATATATTACATGTCAGACGAAACTTATACATGAACTTAAATACGTACATTGCAACTAATATATTATCACTTATAATTATTATCAGTGAGATTGCAACTTCTTTTGATATTGAATGTGTCTCTTTGTCCTTCGCAATAGTGCATGCACTTTTTTCTAACACATCGTAGAGGACTGTGAGTGTCGAACGGAAGCGGATGAGTCTGTTTATATATAAAATATATCTGTCTGTCTATATTATATACTACATACTAAGAATAAATAATAAAAGAAATTGACATATTAAATGGATAAAAGGTGTATGGCGTGAGAAAGACTCCTGCGTGAGGACAACTTCATTGTTCGGGGGTTATAACCCAGGGCCCCTCAACCCTGGCAACCTCCATTATTTTTTATTCTATATTCATATGCATACCTCAGTAAGATTTATGTATATATGCACATGGAAATCTGCTACTGAGGAATTAAATGTCTTAAATAAAAAAGAAGCAAAAATGTATGTCTATGAACAAAATTATAAAGAACGTCCCTTTAGCTCATTTAGCTCAAAGCTGACACGCTATGTGTGCTATTGTTTTCGACACTGTAATGGTATAACAAACGCTCAGTCCTTTATTCTCCGTAGACTAAAATATAATAATTACATTTGTCATTTTTAGATATATCAAGCTTTTTAAATATCTAGGGAATAACACGTCCCAGAGCAGCAAGTTTGGTGTTAGCACATGGTACATGTATTATAGGAATACATTTGATACCATGTACAAGTGTATGTTACTCACATTAAAGTTAATTGTCAATGTAAGGTCATTGTTTTATTATTTTGCACAGGACAATGATTTCCAAATGGATCCTGCTAATATTGATAGTGTCCAGTGTGGTCCTACTAACCAGTGCCCAAATCAGTTTCTCCACGAGCTGGGGCAGTGGTAAACGTACAGCCTACAACGAGCCCGTGAACCCTAAAAGCATCAACCTTGACAGCACGTGCATGAGTAGGACGGAACCGGAAGTCCTAATGGAACTGGTAAAAGCAATACAGGTAAATGCTTATCACTGCCAAATTATTGATGTCACATGCTTTTATTCAAAAACACTTTCGTCTCCATTTTCGAGAAAGAAATAAAGAATATAAATTAAATGGTTATTTCCGCATGAATATGCAATATTTTATCGTTGTTGAGAAAGGATGTGTTTAAAAGTAAACCCTGCTTTTGTTGTTTTCGGAAACAAAAAACATTGTTATGACGATATGAACACATTACATTTATATAACATTGATATGAACACATTACATTTATATAACATTGATTTGAATACATTACATTTATATAACATTGATATGACCTATTTACCTTTATATTACATTGATATGAACACATTACATCTATATAACATTGATATGACCTATTCACCGTTATATTACACTGATATGAACACATTACATTTATATAACATTGATATGACCTATTCACCGTTATATTACATTGATATGAACACATTACATTTATATCAAATTGATATGCCCTATTCACCGTTAATTACATTGATATGAACACATTACATTTATATAACATTTATATGAACTATTCACCGTTATGACTAATAGAATCTTCCCCAACCTTGAGGGTGTCACCGAGAAATCCGCAACCCGAGGGGTGATGTTTTTTGGTTGTCTAACCCGAGGCTCTGCTGAGGGATAAACAACAACAAAAATCACCCCGAGGGTTTGGATTTCTCTGTTTCACCCTCAAGGTAAGGGATGATTATTTTTCTCCCATCCTATTATTTCAGTCAAAACTTCAACGACAGTTGTCTGTTTGTAAACAAAAAAACATTTGGGGTATGAATATCGTCATTAACTTTTGATGACGTCACAATTGCCAGTGACACATTTTAATGACGTCGCTATTGAACAGGTGCTAATAGGCACGAGGTTATCTCCCCCTAGGGGGTGACAAGCTGATCTTTCCCGGCTGAAACGGGAGAAATTAATATGAACACGTCAACTGTTTATAACATTTGCATGAACGCGTCATCTTTATAACGTTAATAGGAACACGTCACCTTCATAACATTGACAAGAACACGTCACCTTTATAACATAGACAGGAATACGTCACCTTCATTACATTGACAGGAACACGTCACCTTTATAACATTGACAAGAACACGTCACCTTTATAACATTGACAAGAACACGTCACCTTTATGACATAGACAGGAATACGTCACCTTCATTACATTGACAGGAACACATCACCTTCATAACATTGACAGGAACACGTCACCTTTATAACATAGACAGGAACACGTCACCTTCATAACATTGACAGGAACAAGTCACCTATATAACATTAATATGAACACGTCATTTTTATAACATGGATATAAACACGTCACTTTTATAACATTGATATGAACACGTCACCTTGATAACATTAATATGAACACGTCACCTTTATAACATTTATATAAACACGTCACCTTTATAACATTGATATGAACACGTTATCTTTATAACATTGATATAAACACGTCACCTTTATAACATTGATATGAACACGTCACCTTTACAACATTGATATGAACACGTCACCTTTATAACATTGATATGAACACGTCACCTTTATAACATTAATATGAACACGTCACCTTTATAACATTTATATAAGCACGACACCTTTATAACATTGATATGAACACGTCACCTTTACAACATTGATATGAACACGTCACCTTTATAACATTGACAGGAACACGTCACCTTTATAACATTAATATGAACACGTCACCTTTATAACATTTATATAAACACGACACCTTTATAACATTGATATGAACACGTCACCTTTACAACATTGATATGAACACGTCACCTTTATAACATTGAAAGGAACACGTCACCTTTATAACATTGATATAAACGCGTCACCTTTATAACATTGATATGAACACGTCACCTTTACAACATTGATATGAACACGTCACCTTTATAACATTGATATGAACACGTCACTTTTATAACATTGACAGGAACACGTCACCTTTATAACATTGATATAAACGCGTCACCTTTATAACATTGATATGAACACGTCACTTTTATAACATTGACAGGAACACGTCACCTTTATAACATTGATATAAACGCGTCACCTTTATAACATTGATATGAACACGTCACCTATATAACATTGATATGAACACGTCACCTTTATAACATTGATATGAAAACGTTATCTTTATAACATTGATAAAAACACGTCACTTTTATAACATTGATATGAACACGTTATCTTTATAACATTGATAAAAACACGTCACTTTTATAACATTGATATGAACACGTTATCTTTATAACATTGGTAAAAACACGTCACTTTTATAACATTGATATAAACACGTCACCTTTATAACATTGATATAAACACGTCGATTTTATAACATTAATATAAACACGTCACCTTTATAACATTGATATAAACACGTCACCTTTATAACATTGATATGAACACGTCACCTTTATAACATTGACAATATGAACACGTCACTTTTATAACATTTATATAACCACGACACCTTTATAACATTGATATAAACACGTCACCTTTATAACATTGATATAAACACGTCACTTTTATAACATTGACAGGAACACGTCACTTTTATCACATTAATATGAACACGTCACTTTTATAACATTTATATAAACACGACACCTTTATAACATTGATATGAACACGTCGCCTTTATAACATTGACAGGAACACGTCACCTTCATAACATTGACAGGAACACGTCACCTTTATAACAATGATATAAACACGTCACCTTTATAACAATGATATTAACACGTCCCCTTTATAACATTGACAGGAACACGTCACCTTCATAACATTGACAGGAACACGTCAGCTTTATAACATAGACAGGAATACGTCACCTTTATAACATTGACAGGAACACGTCACCTTTATAACAATGATATAAACACGTCACCTTTATAACAATGATATGAACACGTCACCTTTATAACATTGACAGGAACACGTCACCTTTATCACATTAATATGAAAACGTCACTTTTATAACATTGACAGGAACACGTTATCTTTATAAGATTAATATAAACACGTCACCCATATAACATTGACAGGAACACGTCATCTTTATAACATTGACAGGAACACGTCACCTTTATAACGTTGACAGGAACACGTCACCTTTATAACATTCACAGGAACACGTCACCTTTATAACATTGATAGTAACACGTCACCTTTATCACATTAATATGAAATCGTCACTTTTATAACATTGACAGGAACACGTTATCTTTATAAGATTAATATAAACCCGTCACCCATATAACATTGACAGGAACACGTCATCTTTATAACATTGACAGGAACACGTCACATCTATAGCATAGACAGCAATACGTCACCTTTATAACATTGACAGGAAAACGTCACCTTTATAACGTTGACAGGAACACGTCTCCTTTATAACATTGACAGGAACACGTCACCTTTATAACATTGATAGGAACACGTCACCTTTATAACATTAATATGAAAACGCCACTTTTATAACATTGACAGGAACACGTCACCTTCATAACATTGACAGGAACACGTCACCTTTATAACATTCACAGGAACACGTCACCTTTATAACATTGATAGTAACACGTCACCTTTATCACATTAATATGAAATCGTCACTTTTATAACATTGACAGGAACACGTCACCTTCATAACATTGACAGGAACACGTCAGCTTTATAACATAGACAGGAATACGTCACCTTTTTAAAATTGACAGGAACACGTCACCTTTATAACATTCACAGGAACACGTCACCTTTATAACATTGATAGGAACACGTCACCTTTATAACATTAATATGAAAACGTCACTTTTATAACATTGACAGGAACACGTTATCTTTATAAGATTAATATAAACCCGTCACCCATATAACATTGACAGGAACACGCCATCTTTATAACATTGACAGGAACACGTCCCCTTTATAACATTAAAATGAACACGTCGCCTTTATAACAATGATATAAACACGTCACCTCCAAACAATGATATAAATACGTCACCTTTATAACAATGATATGAACACGTCACCTTTATAACAATGACAGGAACACGTCACCTTTATAACATTAATATGAAAACGCCACTTTTATAACATTGACAGGAACACGTCATCTTTATAAGATTAATATAAACACGTCACCCATATAACATTGACAGGAACACGTCATCTTTATAACATTGACAGGAAAACGTCACCTTTATAACATTGACAGGAACAAGTCACCTTTATAACATTGACAGGAACACGTCATCTTTATAAGATTAATATAAACACGTCACCCATATAACATTGACAGGAACATGTCATCTTTATAACATTGACAGGAACACGTCGCCTTTATCACATTAATATGAAAACGTCACTTTTATAACATTGACAGGAACACGTCACCTTCATAACATTGACAGGAACACGTCACCTTTATAACGTTGACAGGAACACGTCACCTTTATAACATTGATAGGAACACGTCACCTTTATAACATTAATATGAAAACGTCACTTTTATAACATTGACAGGAACACGTTATCTTTATAAGATTAATATAAACCCGTCACCTATATAACATTGACAGGAACACGTCACCTTTATAACGTTGACAGGAACACGTCACCTTTATAACATTCACAGGAACACGTCACCTTTATAACATTGATAGTAACACGTCACCTTTATCACATTAATATGAAAACGTCACCTTTATATCAATGATATAAACACGTCACCTCCAAACAATGATATAAATACGTCACCTTTATAACAATGATATGAACACGTCACCTTTATAACAATGACAGGAACGCGTCCCCTTTATAACATTGACAGGAACACGTCACCTTTATAACATTAAAATGAACACGTCACCTTTATAACAATGATATAAACACGTCACTTTTATAACATTGATATAAACACGTC